AGGAAAGAATTATGCAAAACGTCACACCAATTAACTTGAAGAATTCAAGTTCGGTTCAAAATAGCAAAACTACAGGTTATAGCATTAAAAGCAAAAAATCATCTGCATGAATTAATACCAGTTCTAAAATTAAGTAAATATCTTAAGTCTTGCAAAAAATCTTATCTTATTCAATACTTTATTATTATGTACTTACTTATATTTTGTAAAGTGTAAGTTTTGTTTATTTATTTATTTGGCAAGAGTTTTGTATGAAATGAAAAAGAAAAAAATATTCTCATATGATCATTTAGAATCAATTTATTTTTTTACTAGTGGGCTGCACCCCCTGCTCGCTAACGCTCGCCAACCCCCGAAAATTGCTACGCAATCTTATATGGTTTGCTTCGCGTACCAAGATCGCTTCGCTCGCTACTAACTTAGGTACATTGCAAATGCACACAATTCTAAGAACTCAAAATAATTATTCAAATCCATATAAAAAAATTACATCTTTTTAGTAAATACTAAGTCATTAAAATAAATTTGAGTTCAAATAAATGACATGTAATTCTTTAAACCTATTAGAAATGTGCTATAGTATAATTCGTGATGTAAATCAAAAATCGTCAAATATATTCGTAATATATAAATTCGTGAAAAAAAGCGCTTTCGACAAAATACTAAAATAGAGATCTACTGACAAAGACTACTCACTTCTGCCTAGCTTAATAGTATGATATTGCCGCAGCTGATGCTGTCTGGTTATTTCAGTTTCCGTTTTTAAAAGCGCTATATGTTGAGTCACCTCAGATAGATTTGGCATGTGACATTTTTAGCGGCAATCATAGGTCGATTCTCCGTGTAACAGAAATAGTAACGTAAACAAAACAAAGCAAACGTTGCCACCGGCGGAAAAGAAATACAGCTAAAATTTGGGAGCCACGTAAGAGAATTATATATATTAGATATTTAGATCTATTGGTAAACAGAAGTGATTTTTCTAAGTAATCATTTTTTTAAATAACATTTATGTTGTTATAACGTTATATTGTTGAAACAAATTTGATGAGTTCACATCCTTAATTTAATATTTTCACTTACCAAACGGTAGGATATATTAAATACTTTTTTTTTTGCCTGCATCTCATTGTGCATGAAGCTGATCCTTAAGTTCTAAATCATTTAACAGATCTCTTTAACTGTAATTTATAACAGTATATTAATGTTATTTGCTCAAAAATAATAATTGTTAGACCACCTTTCTAAATAACTTTATCTTAAAATGTAAGGCAGATTTACATTATAATACTAATAAAAAAACAGCAATTCTCTTAGTTTTAAACTCTTGAATTAAAAGCGTAATAATAGCAGTACAGGAAAATGACTTTAAGTTAGGGATTCAAAAATAATTATAGAAAAGCAAGAACTTTATGACTTTTATTAATTTTATGCTGACTACAACCAAAACAAAAAGGAAACGAATGAGGAAAAACTGGATCACACCTCGTGATTTTCTGGCCAGTAAAAATGCACTGACAACAATGGAAAACTGCGACACCATCATTAGATTTTTATGTATAGTAAGATTTTAAATGTAGATTGTAAAGTTTATTCCCCTTCCCATTCTTTTTCATTTGTAGATTGACGATTAATACTTATTCAAATTAATGTGTTTTTTAAAACTTTAAAAAAAATGCATTAAAATAAAAAATATTCAATTAAAATAAAAAAATAAAGAAAACACTAAGTTCAAAGATTGTAATTTTTTTTCCTGAAAATTTTTGCAACATATAATTAATTTAGTATAATTTTATTACACTTTCCATAAGTGCAAATATTTATTCTTTAAACCAAAACTTCATTTCGTCTTTTTGCAAACTTTAAATACAGTATGCTTGATACATATTGTTAGAAGTCCGATACCTTCAAAATATTAATATTTAAGATACAAAAATTTTTTGTTTAACAAAAATATTAGACTTCCGCTATAGCGACAAAATTAACAAAGTTTTAAGAAAGAAGACAAAACGTTTTCATTCATTTCTAATACAGAAAGTGAACATCATTTCACCTTATTTTCCTCTTTCAATCTTCTCTAAGAGCATATATATGAGGATAATCACCGGCTAAACTATCCTCCAATATAAAAATCTTTTGTTGTTATCAGCACTATTGTCATATACTTCAAATGGATGTACAATGCGCAAAAAAGTAATCTGATCCACCTGAATAACTTTTGATCTAATGATCGGATCTTTATGTTCGATGATCATTTTTAATGGTTCGAGAAGGTGACGTCAAATAATTGGTCAAACATTAATTAGTGCAAATGATATTTTAAATTAGGAAATTAGACATTAAACTGTACTTTCTCTGATTTGACATACCTTTTTTTCCGACTGATTCAGATTTCTGACCCCCAAAATATACGGATTAGCCGCTATATGGAAATATGGTCCTTATCGTTTGGTCAGGAGCGGAAAGTTTGAACCCCTTAATGTTAACTATACTTTTTGCCCATTTCACTATATCCCAAAATTTTTTAAGCGAATTGAAAAATTTCTGCATACATTTATTAAGTTCGTTTTTCTAATGGTAAATTTCATGCGAAAAATCACTTTTAGTAAATGTTTATTATTTAATTTAATGACAGTCGAAAAACTATTGTATTGTAAGGTATATCAACGCTTACATCATTTGAAGAATGCAAATTTAAATGGCAAAATACAAAATTTGAGCAAAATCGGAGTTCCTGAGAAATAAAAAAGGCTCGTATTTTTCAAAATTTGATCTCCTACCTCCTTAATTTTTTGTGTCTGTTTTTTGTGACTTAAAATTCATAACTATAAAAGCAAAAGTAAATTTAAATCGCAAAGGAAAGAATGTTTGGTTTCGCTTTGATATTTGGTAGACAATAATTAATTAGCTTTGTGAAATGTTATTCACTGCAGGCGCATATGTGGAGGGATTTTGTAAAGCGAAATCTTGATGGAAAGTTTGCTGCAGAGAAAAGAAGACTTCAACAGACAAACAGCAGCCATATGTGGCAAATTTTTTGAAATGTAAGTTGGTTAATATTTTCTCAGACGTCATTTCTCGGATGCAAAAATAAAATATTTTACATTGAAAAATTACTATAAATTTTAGCTACATTGTTTGCATTTCATATTTTAAGCTGATAGACTAACTCTTTTTCTCAAATAGAGCAATCAGCCGAAAACAGATCTTCTACTCCTTAAAAGCACCTTCGAAAAAAAAGGAAGGGAGAAATTTTAAGTCCCTATTTATTTACACATATATTACCCTCGAATCCCCTAATTAAAATAATCCTTTTTTCTTGCTCGTAAAATTAAATATGTAACTATTTTAAAAAAAACAGATTCTACAATTTAATGAGCAAAATCGAAGTTTGTACACGTTGCATGTAACGAAGACGCTCGAAGTTTGTACAAAACGTTGCGTGTAATCTTTAGACAGAATATGTGGTTGCAAAATCATTTTCTAATAACTTTATTTGAAAAACTCTACTGTTATGCGGTACAGAAGATAAAATTGAATTTAACATTTAAATTATTCAAAAGTCACAGGATACATTAATAACATTTTCATAACAAAATGTTCTTTAAACATTTCATTAAATGTACGTAAAATTTCAAATTTTTTCTAACGAATATTTTTTGCATTATGATAGAGTGAGAAGCGTGGAAATTTTCTGAAAGAGTGGTGCCTGTGACAATAATTTTTCATTATTACAGAAGTAATTTTTAAGCTTACAATGTCTGGTAAATTGCACCATATAGTACAAAATACATCAATAACAAAAAAAAAATGTGATTTAGATTTACATTAAAATGAATCTGCACATTACGATATCAAAATTAGTGATTTTAACTTCTTAGAAACACACTTCTGAAATATATGATGTGAGAAAAGCATGAAGTATAAAATAGGTTTTAATTTAAATATTTTGAATTAATTTGTTTGAGTCACTCAGTCGGGGTAGGCTTGTCCTCCTGTCAGCCAAAGTCTACTGCCATCCTTGTATAGCGTTTGTATTCCTTTCATGAACTCTTTACAGAGTACAGTGCCATCTTTTGTAACTAAATTCCAAAACTTCTACATAAAAATTTTAAATCGTTTACAATGGATATACCATATATTTCATTCCTCCATCATTCTTAGTTTCCATGATTTTTAATTTTCAAATCAATCTTCCACTGGACACTCTGTAAATTAAAGCTCAACTATAACTATAGTAATTTATTAAAAGGGAGAATTTAAGTGCTGCAAAAATATTATTTAAAATGTTATTCCGCTATAATCTTTATATAATAATCAGGATTTATCAATGAACAACTAGTAAAATTTTCATATTGTGACATGACTAAATTAAGTTAGGAAATTTATACATACTTCCGTACCATATTAAATGTGGTAGTGTATAATTGATTAAAAATGACTATTCCAAATATATAAAAAGCATTAGAACTCTATTACTCTAGAATCGGGACAACTCAATAAGGAGTTCTAGTATTTATAACTTCACTCTGCATACATTATATCTTCTCCTTTTATTCTTTACTACCCCGTTTATACATGTAACTTTAAAAAATGCATAAATCTGTTCTGCTAAAGAATGCATATAAATACCATGCTGCAATGAAGACAAATAATTTTACATTTTTACTGTAATTAAATTAAATAATATATTGGTAAGAGACTTTTGCAAGCCACTGTATCAGCTCTCTATTTTTTAGCATTTGTTTATTGTATATCAGTTGAAATAATTTATAAGTATCTGGTTTTGCACATAAAAAAGTTTTTGAAGCAAAATTTAAGATTAATATAATATAAATTAAAGGTTAAAACATATGACAAAATTGAGTTATAATACAACCAAATAAATTGGTATTTCTCAACTTGATATTGCAAAATAACTGCTAATTAGGCCTCAGAAAAATCTCAATATTTATCTTTACTTTAAATAATACAAATACACGGGAATAAATAACTAATTCTTCATATAAAAAGTTCTTTATTTTAATGACTTCATATACAATCTATTGTGATATAAATAGTAATATACATTATTTGCTTCTGAGTTTTTAAAAAATGTATGGATGTCAAGCATTCAGACTTCATTGTCAATATCTTATATTTACTCAGTCTTAATTTTCAGACATATAACAAAATTAGAAAACTCAATATATAATAAAATTATTTTATGTACATAATTTTACATTAAATCATATTTTCATCTTGAATAAGCATGCAAAACATTATCATAAAGATTGTCCTTGTACATTGATACCACTTTTTGAACACCATTTGAATTTCGCTCTATGAATACCTCCTAATTGTAATTTTGAACCTTTTATCGCCTAATGATATTTTTTTCCAAAACGTCACCCTTTCAAATGATTTTGTCATTATTGATTGATAAATGTATTTTTAATATTAATCTTCTTTTTTTCTCATCTCAGAGTCAATATATTAATATAGATTCAAATTATTATATTGTTAATAACATTCATTAAATTTTATTATATTTATTTTTAATGGAAACAATGAGACAATTTTTCTTCTGGTGTGCTTAATACAGGAGTAAAGTACACAAATCTTGACATTCTCAATACAAAACTTTAAAAATACCAAGGATTTATTTACAAATTAAACTCTCTCCCCCTATTAAATACTTATATCATTTTAAACTAATAGTGATAATAATGTGTATGGACAACCCATAAAAGCCAAAACAAAAAACAATAGTTCGATTATGGCATGGTGCAGCTAGATAAATATCAAACAAGCTACATATGAATAAATTATTCAAATGATTAAATTATTGATAAAACTTGAGCATTTAGTTAAGACACTTTATTTGAAAATTGCATAGTTTAATACAGATATAAATTTATCCATGGAAAGCATTTTTAATCCCTAAATTTAATGTGCATGAAAGATAAATAATCTTAAACTCAGCTATAAATCAATAATGCAAGATATTGACTAATAAAAATAAAGGCATCATTTTATGAATAACAAATAAATTTTGCAAAACAAGTGAATTTTCAAATCAAAACTTAAATAATTCAATAACACCGTAATGAATTGCATATAAACTATGGCTACATAGTTTAATATGAATCATAGTTGATATGCATCACCATAAATCAATAGATTCTGAAATTTCAGACTGTAAATCCTTGAAAATGTCATGATATAAGAAAGATCAATTTATATTGTTTGGAATTAAAAGTCTCATCAATCATCTGTTCCACCTCACTTATAAAGTGAAAAAGTTTACAAAACATATAAAAATTTAGGCAATAAATTTACTATCATGAACCTCCATTTATAATATTTTTTGGTGGCTCTAAAAGATCAGCATATTCGTGCAAAGCTTCACGCAAAGAACAACATACTTGAGCAGATGTAGAAGTTGTGCAATCAACAAGACTTGGATAAAGAGAAATAAGTTGTTCCCATACAGTCCATTCAACTGCAAAGTTAATGAGAATGAGTAATTTCAAAAGATAATAAATAAAGATTTTGCTTTTAAAACCAGCTCATGTAATATTTCAATGTCAAAGTGTTTTTTGTTACGTTTTTTTCATTTATTTCTTACTTCTGTCTTTCTTAAATTTCTTGAATAATTCCTTCTTTGCTTCTTTCTCTTATTTTTAACAAATATCAGATTTTTTAATATAAAAATGATAAATACATAAATTCGAAATACTATAAAAATTTTCATTAACATTTTTTTTTTTTCGTTTTACAAAAAATAGATCAACCACTAAGCTATAGATCAGTTTTTTTTTTCTTACTCAAATCAACAAATTAAAAAAAAAACTAATTAACTCTTTAAAAAAATCAACTCAATTCTAATCAAATTTTTAGTTCATATTAAAACATTTCTGTGAGTAGTAAGAATATCAATTTAATCAAACATTAATTATTTCTCAAAACACAAAAAATACTTGTCTTAGTAACAAATATTTAGATTAGTAATATTTTTTGCCTCTACTAAGAGATTTCTGGAGTGAATAAAAAAATTGCCAAATTTTAGGCTTTTCGCAAGATATTCTTTCATGATGGCAATAAACATTTTTCTGTAGTTTGATTCTTGATTTCATAAATTTTATTCAAAGTGATTTTTACCAAATAAATAATTCAAACATATGTATTTAAAAGACCAGGTAGCCAATTGATCATGAGTTAAAACTCTAGAAAAATAAAAAATAATTCTGCTTAATTCAACATATCATAAATATTACTTTTCCACCAGAAGAAAAAAAAATTATTTTCCTTATATTTACTCATAGCAACACCTCAACTAGAAAAATCATTGCTGTATAAAAGAACATAGTAATTAAATTAGCCTAATCAATTTGCGACTACAAAATTTATTAGAATAATAGTAAACTTTAGTACAAACCTTTCTCCGGATCTGCTTTTTTCAAAGACTTCGCCAAAGTAGCTACAGCTTTTAAAACAAATGATATTTCAGACATCCTGTGCCTATAAAATAACAAAATTTCTATTTAGAAAGTTTGGAAAAATAATTTATATTTTCAAACAAAAATTCCACTTAAAACCAAAGCAGAAAACTGAATGAAAATATATAAACATTTCAATTCACTTAATGTAAAGCCTTTGGGGAAATTCTGCATTAAAAATACTTTCATTAAACAATGATTAGATTTAAAGCATTTTTAAAATAAAGCAAAAGAGGATAAGAAACGGAGATTCAAAGATTTACCTCTACAAGCATAAGGAAGTATTCCCTATAACCTTTCCAGATTTTGATTCTGAATTATATAATGCTTTTTTTTATTAATGATTAGATTAAAGCCTACTTTTATATACAAAGCAACAAAAATTAAAAAAAGGAGATGAAGTAATATGAAGATATATCTCTATAAGTAATAAAGTTTGGTACTTCTCCATTTTGTCAGCACAAGTAAATTCAGCTATTTTATTTATTTGTTTATTTATTTTTTAAAAAATATAGCTGCCACATAAAAGATTTTTTTTTTTAAAAAAAACAGTTAAATTTACTCGTGCCTGGTGACTTAGCATTAGCGACAAAATGGGAAAGTACCTAAAAATTATTTCCTTATGATGACTAGGCCCAATCGTTTCTGTGGAAACGGAGTTTTGATTTTACAAATTGGATAAACTAAAAAAATCAAATGATTCAAAATTCAAATGGGCCAATCAAAATAGATGTCCAATGTTCAGAAGGAATGATCCCTAAAAAAAAAATTTATATTGATATACAGTGGGTGATCGGTTAACGAACATAATCCGTTCCAGGACTATGTTCGCTATCCGAATTGTTCGTTAACCGATCATCGATTCAACATAGACTTCTGTGTGAAATCGATTAATTCGTTCTGGAGACCCTAAAAATTAAATTTTAAAAAATATATAATTTCTTTGTAAGTTTTTTAAAAAATAATGCATATATATAGTCTTGCATATTAATCAGTCCTTTTCATTTTTTGCTTATGCCCCATAAGAAGATTGAAGCCCATAATTGAAGAACATGTCCAATGTCAATTGCTTTTCTTTCTTTTTCAGGATTGATTTTAGTCATAATAATAATTATTGAATGACCTTTAAATTCATTGTTAATTCAAGTTTCATTTAGTAATTATCAATATATTAAACATGCTTTAAACATTTCTCCTTTCAGTGATCTTATTTTGTGTGCAAAATGATAACAAATGTTTAATATTAATTTTTTTCAGACCGAGAAATGTTCCTTAGAATTCGTTTTGTTCATTTTCCGAATATGTGTTCGTTATCCGAATATGTGTTCGTTATCCGAACACAAAAACTTTCGTGAAAGTGTTCGTTAACCGATTTGTTCGTCAACCGATCTGTTCGTTAACCGATCACCCACTGTACAAATAAATTGTGTAATTTTAAAGAAGCCATTTTCTTTGCTAAACATTCGTTTACTCATATTTTCATGTAAAATTAGATGTGAGTTACATATATATCTATATATAGAGGCATCTAAAGTTTCTTCAAGATCCTAATTTGATATATTTGATAATAGAAATAGACTCTTTTAGAAATATTGACAATAAATAGACTAATTGCATTGGAGCAGACAGATTGGGCTAAAGATAAAAAAACTAACAAACTTTTTTCAGTTTTATATATATATTTTTTTTTCTCTGGATTTTTATCATTTTTATTATTATTATTTTTCTTTGTCCCTTTTTTCATTGTTCTGTAATTTTTTCCATGTTTTCTCTACAGTTTGAACCATATATATATATATATATATACAATTCGTGAAAAAATTTGTAAGCTTAAACAATTGAATCTAGCGATTTTTACAGCGGTNACATATGAAGGAAGGAATTAAATTATGAATTATTAAAAGCAGTGCAAGAGGCAAAGTTGGCTATAAAGCTGTCAACTAAAGTAACTCACAAAAGGATTTTTTGTTTCATAAATTTGCATTTAAAAAAACACAATAATATAGACAAGAATTGTATTATTGTTGCAATATATTTTAAAGTGGTGCTATGAAGAATAAATAGGAGTCAAAAAAGTCCTCTCGTCTTGATTTAAAGGTATTACAATGTTCTAGAATGTATAATTACCTTTAGTTTAAATAAAATCATGCAGGAAAAAAATATTTGAAAGGAAGGTAAGTTGTGAGACATACTAGGTTTGAATTAAGAGAGAGAAAAAGGTGTGAGGCATTGAATATCCACAAAAGGTAAATTTTGATGCTGAAACCAAACATGTAAATGCATATAGAAATAGCTTTGAGAAGTATTTGAATAGTTAAAAGTTAATCACTACTAAGAATAGAAAACAAAAATAAAATATTTTTAAATTTAAAGCTTGTTTTGGAAGCTGTAGGATGCGTTATAAATTATTCCTAAGATAGTGAGAAAGATTCCTCCTCCATAAACAAAGCATATTACAATACACAAAATTTATAAATAGAAACATTTTTTATATTCATAAAATAGATAAATAAATTAAGTTTTTGTGAATAAAATTGATTTAATACCTTGGTAATGGACATTTTCCACTAAGTCTTTCATCTTCAGCATATTTGTGAATGACTTCTTTGAAACGATGTAAGAGAGAAGTGACAGCTAATAAATTAACAACACCATCATCATCGATTTCAATTCCGCTCTCCAGGAAAGAAAATTGTAGGAGGGTTTCAAAACAAGACTTAGCAAATTCTTCACGAAGCTTCCTACTGGAATCAATATCTATAAAAACATTTAAAGTAATTCATTTTTATTTATTTCGTTTTTTTTTTCTTTTCTTTCTTTTTTTACAAAAAATATATATTGAAATATTGTGTGAAACAAAATAATTGAAATTTACTATATAGTGCAATTTTCATTATATTTATGACATTAATTAGATATTTTAATACCAACGCAGTTTAAATAATTTTTTAAGTTAAAAACCCTTTACCTACAAATAAGATATTCTGTTTGTGCTTCAAACCATAAATAAACTGATGGTATTTAGATTACTTGTCTCACAAAGCTGATAACTTTTTTTAATTTTTAATCTTATAGCATCGAACAAATATATGTGGTCAAATTTTATTCAATAATTTTCTCTAATTGGATAAAACCATGTTGGGGGTTCATTCATTTTCTATATAAAATAGGAAACAAACTTCCTTGAACAGAAAAAAAAAATTATTAAATAAATTGCATAAAAACGTATAATAGATTATCTGAAATGTTATGATCTAACTACATGAGAAAATATTACTTAAGATATGCAATACAAATACTATCAAGATATTAGAGATAAACTTTAAACTTACCAACAGGGCTATTATTAGTAGCAGAATGTATTGAACCCTTATTAAGTAATGTAACGATTCTAATGATGAATTCACGGGGCAGTTGATTAGCAAAGGGCAATATTCCATCTCGGATCAGATGAATAATCTATAAGAAATAAAAAAAACGAAGAATTAAACATAAAAAAGTTTATTTTATCATTACACAGCCCTAAGATTTCCATATAAAAAGATACTTACTTTACAATCTAAGGCTTCATCATTTTGTTGATCTTCAAGACTTTGTGTTGGAGATGGTAAACTACAAAAGATATAAGTAAATAAATAATTAAATAATTTACTTTGCAGAAACAGTTTTCCTTTAACATTCATATCATCTTGATGCAAGATAAAGAAATTTAAAAAACTGAGAACTTCAAAAACCATTTTGAAAAACACAGACTATTTTAAATGAATATTAATTATTTTTCTATTTCGCGTTGCAAAAAATACCAACCAGAAAATAAATGAAGATGATCGGGGTATAGAAATGACAGTTTGTGGAACTCATTAAAAAGCACACTGAATACTTTCCAATGCTTCATTTTCTATTTATTTATTTATTGTGTCTTTAGTTTCACTTATATTACAAACATACATATATATACAAAATAAAATAATTCTTCTACCATGAATTAAAAATATGTACAATGCACTTGGTTATATGCCATTAATAGTAACGAATATTTTATGTAAAGAAACAGATAACATACCTTGCAGGAAATAAGAAATCTTCGAGAGCATATGCTAAATCAACCCACATGCCATTAAATTGGGTAGCTAGAAATTATTAATGAAATCATATTAGTTCATAAACTCAGTTGAACAGATTTCTTTTATAATAAAGATTACTACCATTACATCTACATTAAAATCTTCAATAAAAATACAAAAATTAAAAAATTATATAAAATTTGTATTTTTTCAATTTCAATTAAAATTTAATATTTTGTCAGAAAGCTTTTCATTTTATTAAGAAAACAATTGGAAAATTTTTGTGGATATAATGCAAATATTTAAACACAGGTACAATTCAAAAACTATATAAAATTTTAAGGAAAAGGTATATTGCATTTAAATTGCCAAAAATGTTTTCTGCATACTAAATGATTAATTAAAAAATTTAAATATACTTGGCATTTTTTTCTAAATATTACTAAAAACTGTTACTGGATTCGTCTTGAAAATAAATTGGCTGCTTTTTCAACTGATCACTTGACATGCGCTGACTTTAATAAAATATAAAAGCAAAGAACACTTAATACAGTACAGAACCCGTTATCCGGAATTCAGAAAACCGGAAAACCAAAAAACCGGAACGAAATTCGATAAATTTCCCCCCTATTTTTTTTTTTTAAATTTTTTCCTCATAAGATTTTAGGATTTTTCTTTCTTTTTTGAAAGATGTTTACCTTACCATCATTTTGGAAATAATCATTAGTGTATTACTTCATCGTTTTTTCTTCTTTTTAAGATTATTTCCAAAAAAAAATTTTTTTTTAGTTGGGTTTAACAATAAAAAAAACGGCTTTTTGTAGCGATTCAGAAAACCGGAAAAATCAGTTATCCGGAATAGCGATGGTCCCGATCGTTCTGGTTAATCGGTTCCCTACTGTAATTTATATCAAATGCATCTAATAAATAATTCTCATTAGCTCATGATGCATCTATAGAAACATCTCTAAAATAGAGCCATAAATACTGATAAAAGTAAAAATTTAAATTTAAAAGTGAAAAATACGTCCTTTTGAACAATTTCTTTTAAAAAAGGTAAAAGGAAGAAAAATTTGTGAATCCCTTCAGCAATGCATTAATGAAGCTTTAACTTAAAGGCTTAAAAGTAAAATAAGAAATGCTTGATAAATTTTCATATATTGAAATTCATTAAACATAAAAGTCATTAAGCATTCACAAAACACAAACTTACGATACTGTCTTGCCATAGGTAGTCCTGCCTGAAGAACTTTGAGCACAGCATTCACAGCCAATTTCCAAGTCATTTGTGATGGACAGGCATATTTCATACTCAGAGGAAGTCTTAAAGCCTAGAAGAAAATTAACAGCTAATAAAGCTCAACAAATCAGAAATATTAAATCAAATGAATGAGTAAAATGACAAACAAATATCTCCGTAAATAAAAGAAATAAAAAAATTTATGCTTATTGGATAATCAGTCTTTTAGTGAATTAGGCAATTTGGAGAGTCATATGCTACAAAAATTAATAAAATTTAGTAAGAAATGCACCAATTATACATATAGTCCTATTAAAAAATGGCTATTGGTGCACAAAATAATGATTTTGCTAAATATTGAATAATTAATATTTCTATATAAATACATACAAAGATTAATTATTTAATACTTGCTGCCACATAGTTCCTTTATGAATACCAAAATTATGAATATCAAGCATCTTAAACCCCTTTTGTAATCTACTAAAAGCGTTATGGTTATTAAATTTGAGAATTTATTTATTTAAGTTTGATCCTATATATTAAAAATTTGTACATTTAAGTTTACATTACCTAGATTCTAAGTCATAGCTGATGCCAAATTGTATGCTCAAAAATTTTACGTAAAATAAAAGTAAATAAATATTAGAATGGATAATAAAAACAACTCATTTCATATATTTCCAGAGCTTATTATGAAATAATGCTAAGTCACAAATTTTTCACAAAAGAATTTTATCAACCTTGATTGTAAAAGTAGTTTACTTCTGTTTTGAGATGTTATCCAATATTCTTTATTAAATCACAAGCTACAACAAAATTACCATAACATGCAAAATTGAGCTGATTAATTTTTTAAACTATGGTTCAAATTCTTTAAGTAATGAAATTGAGTTGACATTTGCTAAAAAAAAGAGACCATGAATGCAAAATTATTATTAATTGCAAAAAAGGAACTAGGCACGTAAAAAGTATTGTTACTTTATATAAATCCAGTGCATAACTGGTTTTCCCACTAACTTATGTTCTAATACTAAATGAAAGAATTCCCAACTTTTACTTTTTTAATTTAATAAAAATTTTAAATATACTGTTAAAAGTCTAATTTATATCAAACCATTAACTATGATTATTTTTATTTATTCTTTTTATTTAAAATCTTTGTTTATATATGTTTATTTCACTATCATCACTACATCCAGTCTAACAATTCTTTCGATGAATTTTTAATGAATTTTTTATCTAAATGGCTTGTTATCTGGAATAATTAATATAAAAAATATATGAGAATATGAAGTATGCATTGTAAAGTTTTGCATGTTTTCATTTTTTACATATTTTACAGACATAAATGACTATTAACAAATCAAATGTACAAGTTAGAAATGTCTGAATCTTCTTAATAAACAGCATGGAGAAATTGTTACGTTCTTTTATCCAACATGAACTATTAATTTTGTTGCTCATAAAATGCTAAATTATCCTTCACCAAGCAATACTAGCTTAACAGAGAATGTAAAAGAAAAAAAAGAAAATGTTATCCTAGGCATTATTATAAACATTTCAGCTTGCTCAATAGTAAAGTAATTTTTTAAAATAATTTATAATTATAAATTTTAAATGTTTTATAATATCTTTAATTAATATAAATTATTTACTTTTATTAAATATGAACTTCTTAATTTATCCTGATTACATTTTAATTTCTTAAATCTTCCAGCAGTATAAGCCTGATAATTTCTATAAATTCTTTTGTATCTCCTTTTATCACCTGGCAAAATAATCAATTATTTGATGTAACTACTGAGTATGAAAATAAATTATCTATTTCTTTCACTCAGAAATATTTTATTTTACTAACTGAGAAACACAGAAATCAAAATATAAAACTAGGAATCTCTAAATAGGTGCAATATAATAGAATAGTTATAACATGCTTACCAAATATATTCAGCAAAAGAGGCCGAAAACTAAATCAGAAAAAATATTTAGTTTGCGGGTAAATAAAATTTAATAGTACCACCACTGGATATTCAAATCTAAATGAGGTTAGGGCCAGTCTTAAAAGACAGATATTTATTTCAAAATGCATTCCCTGTATTCATAATATAAGGCAATGTTTTGTATTTCACTATACAATGTATACATATTATACATTGTATTTCATTAAAAAAAAATACTTATAAAAGCAAATTTAAAAAAAAATTCTACTTTTAACTTTTTTTTAATTTTACACAAGATAATCCCACAATTCCAATTCTAAAAGAAGTGAGGGAATATCTTCCTTTTATCTATATAATGAATAAAACATGCTCCATCGAATGATTTAAAATAACAAAAAATATAAAGAGATATAATCTAAATTTACGAAATAATGTAATGCTTAAGCTTATTAATTTATCATATTCCTTTACAAGAGAAAATTTAAAAAAAAGAAATTCATCACTTTGCAATTGATAAGAGTTTGCTTAATACAAAAAATCAAATAACACAGGATGAACTCAAAAGACGATTCAGATATAATTTTGTCAATTAAAATCAGAAGTGTCTTCAAATTGGGTTTTCAGAGATTTGCTAAAAGTACTGTAAGTACCTTAATTATTGAATGAAGAACTTGAGAATTAATAATGTTTGGCTGCTGAGCAGTTTGTTGATAGGCAGTCACAACCATTTCAAGAGCTTTTTCGCCAAATGGGACAAAATTCATTGTAACCCAATCAGTCTAAAAGAGAATAAAAATTAAAAAATTATCTACCAGAAAGACAGAAATTTAAATTCAAAAACAACAATTAACTGTAATAATTTTTGTTTATGAATCCAAATATGTAAAACTAAATTATAAATATTGGTATCGTCAGCCAAGTTCTAATACAATACAAAACACAAAATGTTACACATACAGTTTTTTAAACATGGAATTAAAATATTTTAATGTAGCAAAAAAATATTTAAAATACATCAGACCATAAAAAATATTTTTGTAATATCATTGAAGAAAGGACTTTTATCTTAATTTGCATACCATTTTTAATGTATGACATTTTTAATTCATTTGTTTGATATTTATAAATTACCAATATAATTTTTAGACAATCTAGAAAACTTAAAATAATCCTGCAGTGCAATAAAATGAATAACTATACACATGATAAAACTGTTGCAAAAAGTGTAATAAATAAGATGTATTCTTCTAAAATGTAATTAATGTATTCAACTTTCTTTTTTCTGAACAATGGTTTAAATTGGGTGCAAAATAAAACATTATTCAAGAATGGTGAAAACTCATTACAATATTTTTCGAGCATATTATAAAAATTAATATTCATATAAAATTAATAAGGGTAAAATAACTTACTCCAGAGACTTTTAGGTTCACAAAAGCTCGAGTTCTCAACTGTCCATAAGGAGGTGCATTGCATGCATAGGATGAAAATACTAGGAGTTGATTGAAAATTACAGGAAGCAATGATGATATATTTTCATTTCCATTTAAAGCTTCCTACAGAAAAATGAAACTGATTCTTTAATACCTAAGGAAATGAAGAATCAAGATTTCTGAACACCTTTAACCCCCTGAGCATTATTCCAAACTTTTTCCTTACTTTAAGCTTCACAATTTACTGTATTAAAAAATGATTTTTCTAATGTTACATCATAGTAGTATATATCAAGGAAATCAGTACAATTTTGCCCAGAGGCTGGATGCTTGGAGGGTTAAATACTATTCGAATCATTTACATGTATTTTAATATAAAAGTTTATATAGAAACTCCTAATTGAAAAATGCATATAATCACAGTTTCTATTTCATGATCTTCATACTATTTTTTATAGAGGAACTACATAAAAGTATAATCTTACAGGCACATACTTAAATTTATTATAGTTTATAAATATTAAATACAGTAAAACTCCTATAATCAGAGTCAATGTTGATTAGATAAGATATCTAAAATTTTGAAATAAGTAGTATTTTCTATCGTGAAATTCATAAACATGCCTAAAAATACAAATTAAGAAAACAAGAATAAATTTTAACAGTATCAAAATAGGGAACTGTAAGCAATCAAACATTACCAATAATTAGCAAACAAATTAAAGCATCATTTTTCTATCAATATAAAGTTATTCTTAAATACAATACAATCTAAGAAACTAAATCTATTGTTTCTATTAATCTATTTAATAATTTTATCTAATTACTGGATATTACTGTTGAAAAGATAAAGAAAAAGTGGAGGGGCATTCTTTTGAATTAAAGATTGTTTCAAAATCACAAGTCATAAAATCATGTCATAATATAATAATTTAAAACCTAATCATGAAAAACAGTAGAAACATTCAAAGCTTAGTAATTAAACAAATATATTAAAAAATATATTTCTTGAAAAAAGTAATATCTGAGAGTACAAACCTTTAACAACATATTCATAGACTGCAATATAGAATCTTGCAAAGTTGTTAAAACTACCTCTGTTAAAGAAGGTAAAATAAATGGTGAAGTTTCACCATGAACAGGTACAGCCACTGCATTTTGCAAGACAGTAGCTAATTTCTGAAAATCAGAAGCAACAAACCTGAAAAAAAAAACTTCAGTTAATACACAATTGCAAAATACTTCCAAATAGGGTGTCAATAATTTAAATCAAATGACTTGATCAAGTCAGCAATTTAGATGAATTGACTGTTTTTTTTTAAAGGAATTTGATGATTTAAGTATAAAAAACAATGATTTGAATAATTTGTCATGCTTTTAAATAGATTTCATGCATTGTTGTTGCTCTCATCGGCCATTACGGCAGAGGGGGTGCAATTGTTCTTGTTTTCCAGTGCAGCTATCCATGGCCAAGAATTCGACTTCTGCGACACTCATACATCACACCTGCTTATAGGGCGGACCCATTCATTCATCTTCAGATCATAATTTTGACCTGAACCAGAGAACAATCAATCTCCAATTCAGTACCCCTAGAGGTACTGATTTGATAAGGGAACATGGAGGACCTTACGGATTTAACCTCCACCAGTCACCATTTACTACACGGGGAATCATCAACAGCCTGGATTTGAAGTCCCGTTCTCACAAGCGTGAGTCCAGCGCTCTGTCAACCAGGCATTTCATGCATTGATATAACTAAGTGAATTTTTTAAAGCAATTAAAGTTTTTTTTTTTTTGTAAAAAAAAATTTTAACAATCTGCAAACTTTTCACACATAAACTAGTAAAAAATAAACAAAAAATTTATCTTTTTTTTTAAAAGTAATATGTGATAATTGCTGACAAAAAATAAAAATAATTAATTAAAATAGCGAAAAATAATTGTTCATATTTAAAAATAATTTTATAATGTTTTTTTTTATGTAGATATATGTAATTATTTCTTCATATTTACTAGATTTATATAGATATTATTTTCGCACTAGATACATGCAAAAAAAATTATATGCTGCTTTACAATAAAAACATATCAAGAGTGCAAATTTATTAACAACATGAGCATTTCTAAAATCAAATTGGATCAGGATCAACATCAACTTTGAATGAACACTTTTCCTATCACAAATTAAATATGTTTAAAAGCAGTTACATATGAGTTACAGATGAGTTTAAAATAATTTTTTTTTTTTTAAAAACATCAGGGAGGGTTATATCGAGGGTTATATAGGGAGGGTGATATTATATACTTGACTTGATTTTGTAGAAATTTTCAGGTTATGGTCGTTATATAAAACTAAAAGGTGCATGTTTTTTCATTTTAGCAAAAACAATAGTTTTCTTTTTTTTGGGGGGGGGGAGTAAAAACTGAAGATCCTCTAGAATTCTGAGAGAAGCACATCAATTTACAAATGTCAGCATATAATGTGAAACAAGTGAATCCCAGCACTGGCTATTATTTTATGTTCCACTAAGTTCACACAACTAATAAGATAAAAATATTTTCAGACTTTTGCACCAGTCATTCAAAGATCTTCGCAAAAAGGCTTTTTTAAGACTTTGAACACTAGTAACAACTAAATCTACCCTTGAATACTAAATCTACTAGTTCCAACAGTGAACTACAAAGGCATATATTTCTGTGAATACATACCAATGAATAGTATCTAAAAAAATAAACATGTGTGGGGTATATTGATTGTGACCTTAAAATTGAACTTCAAATACCAAGAAACTAAAACTTTGTACAACTTTCAAGGTCATTAACTGTCTTCACTAAAGCTCGATAACTAGAAAAAAAGTCTAAAGTACAGCAGAAATAAAATCAATTCTCAGATCTATAGTTACCAATTCAAATTTTATATAATATGTCCCTCAAGTGTGAAGCGTACCAAAGTAATTGAATACATAAATAGTTGTGTGAAAGCTGTTAATTATTTTTAAAAAATGTGATTAAGGCCCAATATGAATATCTGAAATTAGCACCATCTCTCAAGGTGAGTTGCTGTCTCAATCTAGAATTCACTGTCTTTGGCTCACACTTTGCAATCTAGACAAGTGACATAGCGTTTAGATGTACTTTTTAAGCTGAATTAAATACAACCTCACCCAGGTTGATACAACTAATAGATCAAAAGTTATAAAAGATATTATAGATAAATAGTACATTACATTGTTATACAGACAAAGTTTTAGATACTATGGATGCTTTAGAATTAAGGAAATGAAATAAAATCAAGTAAATGAGATGAAAACCAATTTGTTATCAACAGTTTCGGAAATATTTAATACCTCATCTTTAACATATTAACTGTTATAAAATAACAACTTCAGTAACTAGTTTCAGAGGAGAGCCAATAGCAAGACAGTAAATAAAAATCAGTTAGTAAGAAAATACATTAAACATAAAAAAAATACACCTGAAACAATATGTCACAACCCTTGAGCTGGCACACCAAGTTCAATACCGGTTAGTTGAATGTAAACAAGAGAAAAATAAAAAAGGAGCCAAGAGAAGTAGTTACTCATTGACATGTATTCATGGAAATATATACCTTTGTGGTTCACTAATGGTGATAGTAGATTTTGATGGTCAAAGCCTAAGAAAAAAGCCTTTTTTTTTGAAGAATTTTGAATGATCTGTGACCTTTGATGTAGAGGTCCACAGAAAGTATGTCTTAATAGTTACTGTAAACATTATGGAACCTAAAATAACGGTTTGCACATTTTACAAGTACTGCCACTTGTAAATTAAAGTGTTTTTCTCAAAATTCCAGATGATCTTCAGCTTTTACCCCCAAAACATCAATTTTTTTTAAATGTGTGTTTAATAGTTTTACACAAAGAATATGACCTGAAAATTTCAAGAAAATCAAAAATTTCAAGCATCCAAACCTGCCTGATTTGTTGATTCTTTTTTTAAAAAAAAGAACTGGCTCTTAAAAAAAATAAAAAGTTTAACATAAAAGGATACAGAATAATGCATTATGAATAGTTATAGGAAAAATCCTACATAAAGATCTTCTCCCTCCTCAAAGTTATACCTCAATGATACATACAATCTAGTTCATAGAATTTAATCTCTTGTTTCTAACTTGACTAAGCTATGTAGTTAGTTATTTTATTAATCAATTTAAATATAATTTTTGAAATTTGGAAAATCACTTTTTTTTGTAAAATAACTTGTCTTTTAAACTAAAAACATTAAATATGATGAAAAAATTAAATGTTTCTGATTTGGAATAAGCAGACAAACAAGTGAGAATAAAAAATATAACCCTGTAAAAAACTATCCATAAAATACACTGCATTATTTTATTCACATAAGCTGCAAAATATTTTCAAAAATACTTTATAATTTTCTTGTTACCTTTCCTTTATATGCTGGAAGAGAGATGGAAATATTTGAATTAATGCAGTCAGAAATTGTTGCGCAGGTACATAAAGCATGGAATAATCATTTTTTGCATGAGCATTATCAATCAATCGATCTGGAGGAGGTTTTGTGCTTTCTATTCCGATGTTATACCAAACTTTCCAGGCAGCACTCCATAAAGCAACTTCACTGGAAAATGATAATGAACACTAATATATTTAATTTTGCATGTCAGTCAATATAAAATAATATTACACATCTACTGATCTTCTATATAAACATTACTCCCATAATTGTTATCAATAGTTTTCTCTGAAAAATAGCTATATAAATGCAAAAGGACTAAGCAATTGTTTGTCTCAAATTTTAGATTTGATCATTAACCATTATGTAATATCAAATAACGTAAAAATTTAAATATCTTATAATTCAAAATTTTTCAACTATACTTAATGAAGTAAAATCAAAAAATAAATAATTAATTAAAACGTTTTATCTATATAGATTTTCTTGATAAAAATAAAAAATTGCGTATAAAAAAATTTTATTCACTTAATTAGTTTCAGAGATATGGCATAACATGCTAAAAGTAAAATTAACATGATGTGTTTCAAACTTTTGACTGCTTTCAAGACTAAACAATTAAGATATATTTTTCAGATTACGGCCTAAATCGGTAAATAAAGAATTATTTTCTTAAAAAAAGGATCACAAGATAAATTAAATTGTTATCTTATTTGATACATTAAGCTTTTCACATTTGTGAGAAAAAGTAAATTTGTAATGCAAGAATAAATATTACCTGGTATAACAAATGCTAAGTTTCTAAAATATACATGATTAAATCTAATGTAATACACAAAAATTATATTTAATAAGTTCACATTTAGCAATCCTGTATACAATTGCCATTTGTGGAACACTGTGTTCTTTCCATGAAATCGCCCATTTTTTGTCATGATAATTGTGACTTTAAACCACATATGCAGGATTAACAAGGTTTAGATTATTTGTGTTCTATTATAATAATAATTTCTCTAAATTGACACTTTTTTAAACCGATAAGATTTTCACTAATTTTTCCATAACAACTCATTATATAACAATAAGTAATGCTTCTCTAATTACTAAAACCTCAAAGAATGCTAGTAGTAAAAGTTTTTGGCTTTGAGAACGATAGGAAGATACATACGTTTGTAAAGAAGATTCCTCATCATTCTGAGTAACAGGTTCAACTTTTACTTTTCCATTTCTTGGCTCCTGATAATGACTGATGTTCAAAATTTCTTGAAAACTTTTCAAAGCAGAAAAAGAAACCTGAAAATAATTAAGAGACTTAGAAATAATAAGCAACATTTTTATTTCATTAATTTATATGGCACAAAATAATAAGGATCATAAAAATATGGTTACACAGAAAACAAGATTTTTTTAAAATTGTTTTTGCTAGTTTTAGCTAATCTGATATCTGCTGATTCCAACACATTCCGGGTTTTACTTTGAATAATGATCTGTTTTGTGTATCATATCTGAGAATGTTCATAAACTTCTAAAATTTACGAATAATGAAAAATTTATCTCCTAAAGGGTCATATGTTGAATTCTTTACATATCACACAGCTCAAAGATGAAGATTACAAAATTATGCAACATACTCAAAAGCATATTATTCCCTGTATTAATTTTAGCTCTTCGACTAGCAGAACAAAAAAGATCAACAAAATTAGATAATTAAAGTGAACGAATATTTTAACCTTTTAATTGGATTTCTAATTAATAATATACTTAAACTAATTGTGGTAGGTACTTTATTTACATCGCACTGGGGATGCACAATGGGCTATTGGCAATGGTCTGGAAAACATTCCTGAGGATGATCCGAAGACAAGCCATCGCAATTTTGATCCTCTGTGAAGGGGATGGCTCCCCTACTTTGGTAGCCTGACAACCTGCGCAACGACGAGCACTTTATGGTAGAACAGTTTAACGAGGACCAATACCATGCACCCTCGGTCCCTACACAGGTTGATCAAAGTGGTCACCCACCCGCTTAATGACCACAGCCAGCGATGCTCGACTTCGGTGTTCTACTGGGAACCATGTCTTTGCGATCAGTCCTGTGTGGGACAAACAAATTGTGGAAATAAAGGTCAAGAAATCATAATGGCACATTATAACTCACATTAAGCAAGGCTTCTAAAGTTTAAGAGAAGGTTCTAAACTTTGAACTATTTCACACCAGAGCTTAATTTAATAAATAAAACAAACCTCATTATTTTTACTTAATGATGAACTTTCAATGAACTCCAGAAGTAATGCCCATGCTCTTGGAAAATCTCCTAGTTTCTGCAAAACATCACGTTTGGTGTGAAAAATTCTAGCAACACCAGATAAACTCAAAACCTAAAAATTTAATAATAATGAAATTATAGGAAGGTATGAATAAGCAAATGCATTTGAACATGAAAAACATGAAAAGATATATTAGAAATTTAAAGGCTTGGTACAAAAAAAGATGTATCATATTTTTTAATGTTTGGAGATAGTGTTAGAAAAAAAAAAGAGAAAAAGCATTTTGTTTGATTTAAAAAAGATATCATTCTAAGCATTTCTTTTTGCTAGTATAAAAGAGAATCTTGTTAGTTTGTTATCACATGATCAAACACTTTTTTTATGATTTATAGAACATGTAAAATTTGGAACTACTTCATTTTGCAACGAATCAATCTATTATAGCTGTTAAAAAATGATGACAACCACACTAATTTTCTTTCAAACTGTAGAAGGCTGTGAAACGAGTTTTATATAAGCCTTCATTATTTAATTAATTTTTTTCACTAAAAGCAGAATATTAAAAACTAATAAGCAATCCTTTGATATAATCTGCACTGCAGTGTACAGTTTTTGTAACTGATATTTTTATTAACTCAAAATGGATATGTTTGAAAATAATAATAGGACTTAATAATTGTACATGAAAACAAACATAAAAAACCTCTTAGCTCTAAAACATAATAAATATAATATGTAGTAGACAGTAGATACATAGAAACTAATAGATACAGCTTGTTAAACAAGTTTTCTAGCAATGATAAATTTTATAACTTAAATTATAATTTTTTTCTATTTCATAACAAAGAATAATTTGTTTTGCTTTATTACGGAGAACATGAATAAAACAAAATTGATAGCACCACCAATTTTAAATCGAACAATAAAATTAAATTATGATGTAATATAAGAGCCTAAGAAAGAAATAAAATAGAGAATTAAAAACCATTTTAAACATATTCAAGCACAATTTCAAAATACTCATTTTTAAATCCTGACAGATCTTAAAATACTTCATTATTATTAGAAAAGTAACTAATGATTACAAAAAAATAATAAATTGGATATATTAGTGAGCTTACTTGAGTCTCAGCCCACTGCTTTTGAGCTGTGTTTCTTGAGTGATGAATAAGAATATTTCCACCCATATCAGTAATTTTATCAGTAGATGCAGTTCCAGATAAAGATCTTACTCTATCAAGCAGAGGAAAGAGAACCTACACAAATAAAATCCCCAAACTATAATACTATTTAATGCAAAATATAGTAAAATTTTCTATGAAAAATATTTTTCAGTCATAAAGAATAGAAATGATTATAATGAGTGTGTAAAAATAAGAACCGAATTTTAATAAATCTATTACACAAATAATATAATAACTTTGTAATGTGCTGTATATGTCTCTTCTAATAATTTTATATCCAAATATTTTTATTCATTTTTTTTCTATTATACTAGTTAAATATAAATAAGCAAAATGAAGAAGATTTTGTTTGATTCCAAAAAACAATGCTTTTGCAAAAATAATTTGTAGAATTATTTAAATTATTGAATGAGTTCTTTTAATATAGCAAGTTCCCAAAACTCTTCAAATTTCAGCTAATAATGAAAATGTACTTCAACCTGGATATATTCATACTAATATATTGACTTACTTGCCAAAGTACAACCTGCCATGTTGTTTGTTGCAACAATGATCCGTGAGCACTTAAAGTAGAAAACAATGTTTGACCAGCACTTTTTCGAACTGCAGGTCTTGAGTCAACACAAAGATCTCCTAGTCTACAAAACAAACTCAACCACAATTTATCGAATGGCAACAAAGGAAAACCAAAGTTAGAAATCTGTAATGAATTCAAGGAAGTGAGTTCTTCATCAGTGGCTGAGGACAAATTTTGAGAAATTTTTTCTTTATTCTGGAACAAATGATCAGCAATATTCCACTAAAAGAAAAAGATATAAAATTCATAAAAATAGAGATACAAGTTTTGCATTATTTTTAACATGCAACATTATTTTCACATATGGAATAATTTAATGAAACAACAAAATTAGGACTAAAAATGATTAAACAAATTTACTTTAAGTCTAGGCATGCTAAAGCTTTCCAAATAAAAACTTTTTTAACATATTTGCATAAAAAAGTTAGACACCATAATTTATAATGATTTTATGGAAACAGTATTTTTGTATCATGCAATAATCAAAATTGCTTTAACAACTTGAAGAAATTGATTGAAATATTCAGCAATTTTGACATTCATTTTTCAAGAAATATATATATATATATATTTATTNATATATATATATATATCAGTACGCTACATGGAAATTATAAACTTTATTATTTATCTTTAAATTCTAAAAAAAATTATTATTCATAACTAATGATTATCATTTAAGTGCAGTTCTTTTAATGTATAGGTTTTGATTACTATTTGTTTAATGAGACAGTAAGGAAGAGCTTTACAATTTCTTGACCATGAATAACATTTATAGAATTATGCATTATTCAAAGTTAACATTTTATTTAAAAAATATACTTCTTATAATAGAAATATACTTCTTATTATAGAAATATACTTCTTATTATACATCTCATTATCATGTATAGAATTTATACATTAACATTAATAATGCAATTTATGAAAAAATCTTCTAAAACATTAAAACCCTTTAACCTTATAAAATTTTTGAATTCCACTTGCAAAGAAAAAAAGTATTCTATTAGAGTCTAATGCCAGTAGTTTATTTCACCTAATTGAGGTGCAGAAGAATAACAATAAAAATATTGTTAAAGTTACAAAGTGAAATAGAATGAAATACTGCACTTACAAGAAGGCCAATAGCTGCTAAAGAAACATTTAGTTCTTGTGTTTGAGAGCCAAATTTGGCAGCTGCATCTACACATAACTGCAAACAAGTACATGGCATTACTGGTGGGTAATCAGCAACAACAAGTTGAAGGCACTGAAAGGCTGATCGTATCAATGACTCACTAAAAAATTAGAACAAAAATGACAAACATTAAAAAATATTAAAGAAAATACAGCTTTGGGAAATGGATGATTGGCAATAACATAGTGTATACAATAATGGACACTAACTTTTTAAAATATGACAAAATTAAACAGTACAAATATACTGTAAATCCCGAAATAAAACTATTAATATTTTAACCTTACTTTTGGAGGCTTTCAATTATAAAGCCAAATTCATTTTAAAAAATGCACAATATTGTCTACTTAAGGTAGAATTACATAAATGGTGACAGAAACTATGCCCTAAAGTGAAAATAAAAAGAAATAAATCAAAAATGATGAAAGATTAGAGAGGCTCTTAGAGTTAGTTAAATCCTATATATCTCCTAAAAATAAACTCCCATAAAGGCTATTTTACTGCAACAAAAGCAACATTTCATAAACTTTTTAAAATAAATGATTATTTAAGAACTCTCCTAGTATTTTTGCAGCTTGGAACAGAAAAAAATTTAGTTCACAAAAATTTAGCCCAAACAACTACTCTCCTGATTTAAACAAATGGAATGATATTTTCCAGATGGTTGTGACCCCCCAACCATCCTCCATATCCAAACCCGTTAAAATAAGTATACTTATTCAGAGAGAGTAAGCTTTTGGTTTTTAGCAAGTGATCATGAATTCTTCAAGGTGAGATATATATATTGCTTACTGTACATACTTGTATAGACCAAGTAGATATTTTTTTCAGCTGCCTACCACTTTAGATTTAAAAATTGCCCTTTGCAATTTTATATATAAATATTTATGCTATTACCATAGCTATGTGCTAATAAATATAAACCGGATGGAAGAGTCATGGTAGTCAGAACTATCTAGTCAAAATACTTGTGCTAGGGCGACACTGTAAAGAAGGGCCGTGTTTAGTGTCACTTACTATGTATTTTAAAGTATGAATTTCTCAAGACATCTCAATTAAAAAGATTTTACACCATTTTCATTTGCAATTACACTGCCATCCATGAACCCAAATTCATTAGTCTGCAAGTCAAATTAGGGTACATTTCTGGAAAATCCAAATCAGCAGTAAAAAATATGGGTTTCATTTTAAAATTTTGAAGTTAACCTGCTTCCACACCTTACCTCAGACGTGGGACTGGGATTTCAAGTTTGGATCATTGAAGGCATCTTTTGAAAATATTTCAAGAGTTTACTTTTAGATATTTGATGTAACATGTGTTTCAATCTACACACATTTCGCACACTCAGTTGAATAAAATGACAAAAACACCTTCTGAAGTGTATGAAAGCTCAAACATAGAACACATTTTTCATAATTTGCAATTTAGTTTTAGTTCTCTCTTTACAGTTTATTGCACTTGCGTACTTCTTAGACTTGCGCACTTCTACCAAAGAGTCAATCTCCCCTACAACACGAACTTTCTTGTGGAAGTGGCACTAGTCACAATCAAATCTTGGAAAATATCATAATTGTGCCTAAAATTGTACTTGCTTCTGAATCAACTTTTAATATTCAATAGCATTCAGGTTATTTTTCTAAGATTGCTTCAATTAAATGTTGGTAAATAAAAGTAATTAGATATGCACTTATGTGCCACTGAAATGCCTGCCACATGCTACCTACTGGCATACATGCCATTAGTTCTTCATCTCTATCGTAATAGAACAAGAGTAAAATCAACTAAATACCATTTATTTAATTTATATCAAAAATCATGATTAAGATTTTGCAGCTATGTTGCTCAATAGTTTCCACAGATTTAGGACAGCTATTAAATTTTTAAAAAAAGGATGATTATGTAATTAATTTTTAATTTACAGAAATCCAAAAAAATACCCATGATCTTCATTTATTGCACCAATTACATCTAGAAGTTGAGGCCATCCACTAGATATAATATCACCACTACTGTGAAGAACTTGTAATGCACAATCTAACTGTTTCTGTCTTATATCAGGATGAGAAATGGAGGATAGTTCTTGCAGTGGACTTAACAACATTGTTTGCAATTTCTGCAATAAAGAAATTATAATAAAATATAAAATTAGAGCTAAAGTAAGTATAATGTAAAATATAAATAAAATATAACGTGAAAGACATAAAAATACAAAGAGAGATATTAAGCGTTTCAAAACAGACATTGTTTGTAAATTGTTCTTAACTAAAAATTATAAATTATTTTTTAAATTGAAATAAATGTTGAGCACACATTAAAAAAATAGCAATAAATCAATGTTACAATATCATCTTACTTTATTTTCTTTGAGAGATGGTTCATATTTATGATAAAGAGCAGCTTTTACCAAAAATGTTACAGCTTCTGCTCCCCATTCTCGCATTCTGATATGTGGATGTTGGCAAACCTTAAATGAAACCATAAATATATTTGGATAAAATCAAATATTTTTAATCAAAAAAATATTTTTAAAAACTCACTTCCAACAGATGATTAGTCACTGGCCTCCAAAGTACATCAACACGAAATAAGTTCACAAGACCAGTTTCTAACAGCTTAGCTACAGCAAAAAGTGAAGGTTCCTATAAATAAAACAGTAAATAACTTAAAAATTGACAAATATACATGAGTACTATCCAAGACTTTCACAAGATAGCAATGATAATAAAAGAATAAAATCTATACATACTCTATTGGTGTAAGCTAATTCCATAGATTCAGATGACAATTTACAAAGTGCATCAATCAAGTGATGTAAAGCTACCTCATCTAGATATCTAAAGAAAACAAATATAAATGAATAAAATGATATAGTAGAAACGTCAATGATTAAAAAATAATTTAAATTCATTAAATGATAAATTTGCTTTAAATTGGCTAAGTCAGAAATATGCATTTTCTCCAAAATACAAAAAACAGTGTAAATATAGTTATTATATTGAACATTGTCAAACTCATAATTTTACTTTTTTTACAACAAATACAAGAGAAAACTGACATAAAATATTATATGGTTTGTAGTGAGAAATTTAATGTGACAAAAAACACTGTTCTAAAAATAACTAAAGCATTTAACTAACTAAATTATGTTCAATTAAGCAAATAACCTTTTGAAAGGTGGTGTTAAACGCTTTACTAAAAATATTTATTTTTGATTTAATACAGTGTAGAGCAAATAGCTAGATTGAAGATTATTCTTAACTATAAAAAAATTAACTTAAAGAGGTCACAAACTGTTTAAGTTAAAATAGGTTTTGCAAGGCAGGTAAACATACAGAGCTTATACATATATTGCATACATAAATATGAGCATTTGATCAGTTAAAATATTCAATTTAAAATCATATTGTTTACATTTAATTAAAACACTGATTTCACTATTGTAAATAGGTACAGAAAAGGTTAGAGGCAACCATCTAACAATGAAGGAAGAACTATAAAAAAAGACAATCATAAAGTAAAAATAATAAAAGGAAAAACTATGAAAGCACTCTAGAATAACAAAGGTATTTTGTTTCATCAAAACTGTATCTTCTCATCAAAAATGTAAATAATAAATTTCTAAGAAGAAAATTACCAACATTACATTACAACCACCACCAGCTGTCAAAATAAAAATACCAGAACTAGAAATTGAGTTTAAGATTATTTACTGAAGAAAAGAAACATTCAAAACCTGCAAAAGTTGTAAGATTCTTTGGCAGAAAAATAAAAACAAAAATTAGACTAAATGACACTAATTTTTATTAATTAAGAAGTGAAATCATTTAATTAATAAGTTTTACACTAACCAAACGTTTTTGTAACATGGCATTTATTGCTAAATTACAGGCTATTGCTAAACTATAAACTGTATACATATAGCCAGACTATATTTTGAGTAAAAACCTTACTAACAAAATTGCTGCAAACTTTGCAGCTAAAGCATTTATATTTTTAATTGTTTACCAATTGCGATAAAACTAATAAAATACTAATAGAGATAAATAAAAAATAGTTTAAAACACATATTTAAAAAAAGCTAATTAATCAAAAACTAATTTAAATAACTGCTTATGTGATATTACATTAATAATTAATTTTCTAAGAGTCTTTTTGATAGGAGTAATCAATATGTCCCCACCAATTTATGTGTTTTATGAAACAGAAATAATATATCATAAGTAAGAATGAGAAAAAAAGAAAATTAAAAATAATACAGAAGGACAACTAAAATTCAAACTCAAAAAAAAATCTGATCAGACTAAAAACAGCAGATCTTAGATTATATGCAGACTTTTAAAATTTTAAAGGCACATTAATAAGATAATTTTATGCAGAATTTGTACACTGTCAACTAGCTGAGGGCTGCAGATAAAGGGAACTAAGATTTTAGAATCCATTTTATTGAATATTACATAATACAAGAAAATTTCTTTTTATTTAAGGTTTGTAATAAATTCTAGTGAAGAAAAAATTATTTTACAATGTAGAAAAAAGTTATAACTAGCATAAAAAAATTAGAAATGGAAAATGGTAAACCAACCAACAAATTAAGTAAAATTATGATATGTTACAAGACTTCCCATAGTTACAAAAATTTTGCAGACATCCATTCAAACTCAAAAAACAAAAATATATTTTAAGCATAATTGTTATCATACCTTTTTTTAAAAAAAAATTATTAATAACATAGAGATTTTATTTTGCCAACTAAAATTGAAAAAAGGAAAACTAAAATGGTTTAATATCAAATCATTTAATTATGCATAAATATCTACAAAGCAAAACAAAAATTATTCACGGCATTAAAAAACATACATTGGAATGTGGGTGAGTATTATTTTAGCACTTCAACTGTATCAAATAAAAATTGGAACTGAAAACACAGGAACAAATGATAAACAAGTCTGAAATTTTGATTTGGAATTTTTTCGCTCAAGCAAACATAATGCAAGTGCAATATTATGCATACAAAATGAAACTTCTCTAAAATTGCACAGAAATAATTCTACATGGACAGATAAAATGTTCCTTAAATTTTTGAAAAAAATTAAGGCAAGCCAGCAGTCAACAAGCAGTTGGTTCCATTAAATTTCAATTTGTAAAGTAAAGCTTTTAAGTCTTGCTGCCCTATGAAAAAATTGTACTTAAATTTCCTTTATAGACTATTCCCCAATGAAAAAAAAAGTTTTTTTAATAAAAAATAAATAAAAAAAGAAATGCAGATTAAACTTTAGGAAAGCAGGGACTAATGCTAAATGCTAAGTGGGTAAAAATAATTTGTGATGTATGTTTTTTAAAATTGTGTAAATAAAAATGGTAGCATGTGGTTTATAGCATGTGGTAACTGTGAATAATAATGAATTGGAAATAATAATTAATTGAAAGTTGTATTTAATTTAAATAAAATTTATTTTAAAACATTTGAAAAACATGGTTGTAGTATTAAAGTATCGATGATAATATAGATATAAAAATAAATTTTAAGGTATAATATTAAACAAATATAAAATTTGCTATTAAATGGATTTTAGACATTGAACAGAGAAGGAAGGGAATCAAGAAAAATTCTTTTTACATAAATCCATCCTTCAAGATCAATTCTATATGTTGGAGGTAAAGGACACCATGTCCCAAAAATTTAATTTTTGAGATCAGATTTTAGCATCTTATAACTTTAGAGGAAGTTGAACATGGGGATCTCGCCAACTGCCTAATTCCGCCATTAATGATAGGACGCAGTGTTTTATAACACAAGATAAAGTGAAAAATCTACAACATGGATATGCTATCAACTCAATTTTAGAAACAAAATGACATGGCGTCCTTTACCTCCGACAAACGCTCTAATTATGATTATAACAAAAGAAAAACTTAAGTTGACAAATAAAATTAGTAATAAATTATAATAGTAAATGAAGAAAAACTATCATTTTTAAGTCCAACTATTTAATATCATTTATAATACATAGTTTTGTCATCAGAGCATGTGATACCTGTCATCTCAACATTATCGATAGACTGAAATATATTCGCATGTAAAGAACTAATGAAAAATAAATTAAAATAAAATATTTCAAAAAGAAAAAATTCCATTTGTAAATTGATTCATTTTAGTATCATTTACGATGTTTGTTCATTCTAGACCCGAAAACTTTAATAAATTCATATTACAATTGTATATTAGTGAATGGCTTTTAATAAATTTATTGAAATTTGTTACATGGTACAATATTTCTTTAGTGAAATGATTAAAAAATATTATATAATTATGAAATGTAAATACAATGAGTATTGAAGCTAAATATTTTTGTCAGTTTAACAAATCTGAGAAAATTGAGTTTTTGATTTCAATTGATTTTTTATCAAATCATTAAGAGATGAATTAAAGTTTTTTGGAAAGACAAATCTGAATAACAAAAGATTTGTTGCTGCATTTAAAATAGTGAAAGACCCTCTTACTTCATACTTTTTTAAAATCTTGTCTGTAAATATTATCAAGTTTTTTCATTAAAGAATTAAAGAGTACTAAAAATTTTAAAAGTAATAATACAATAATAAAAAGTAATAAGTAAAAAAAATTTATAAAGCATAAAAGTTTACAAAAATTTAATGCAATTGGTGGACAATCTCTCAAATAAAAATCTTATGGTTAAAAAACTATATGTTCCCTGATCAGCAAAAATTCGAGAGATTACTCAATGCGATTTCAGAGGGAGGAAAAGGAAGCCTGAAATTGAGAATCTCATGCAGAATGCAACAGAGTTGCATATGAGAGTGCTAGAATCCTTCTCACTGAATCGAACTCAATATACATATATGCAGACCCGCAAGTATTTCAACAAATGTGCAAAATTATTGGCGCTTTTATATGCTACAGACTGTCGGTATGCCATAATGGATTGTGGTTGAAATAATTGTAAAAACGTTGAATAGAACAATGTGAAAATTACGCTTTCGTGGCGACACACAATTCGTGGCGAAAATCGACATGGTAAAGAAAATATATAATTTTAATAAAGGGAAAATGAAGAACTTTTTAAAAACACCCGATGAAAAGAGCACCTTTAAGCACTTTTTCAAAAACGCTAAGCACCCTGTTCTTTAAATAACAATCCCAGCTGTGATGGTTTTCAAACTTACATATAAGCTTCAGGGGTGAGAGCAGTAAGAAAGTAAAAAAGAGGAAATCCAAGAANAAATAACTATATATATATATATATATATATATACACAATGATATCCAAACCTTTGACAAAAAGAGTGTGACTTTTAAACCATGTGATTATAAATCTCAATGACAAATCCCAATTTTAAAATTGTATATGAACCACATGCATTATTTTAAAATCGTGTGAATAAGTATTGCAATATTTGATTTTAAATAGAAAGAATATGAATCCCGATATGTGGCTTTTAAATCACGTGACTATGAAACTCTATATCGAATTTAAAAAATGTGGAGAAAAAAATCATGATGCGTAATTTTTAGAAAGTGTAAATACAAATCACGATGCATAATTTTTAAATCATGTGAAAACAAATCTTAATGTCTAATTTTTAAATGACATATAAATACAAAAATTAATGTTTGACATTACAACCGCATAAACGAATCACGACATAGGATTTTAAACACGTGAATACGAATCGCTGCATAGGGTTTTAAAAACGCATAAATACATATCGCGATATTGGATTTTTAAACCTTGTAAATAAGAATCGTGATGTACGATATTTAAATCGTGTGAATACGAACCGCAATGCGCAACTTTTAAATCAGGAAAATACGAAA